ATAAATGCGCAAAAATACGCCTCTAAACCTGGCTGCTCTCATTCTTAGGTCGGAATGATGCCAATCGCTCTCTGCAGGATGAACGACTGTTTCCTCTCCCCCAGTGATCAGACTGCAACATTGTAACTTTGTAGCACTTGACAAGGTGACAAGGTAACAAGGCCGGTCCACACATCTGGGTTCAGGTTGGGCTGGCTGTGTTTTCCAGCACAGGCAGAATGCAAGACAAGGCAATTTGCCTTGTCATGGGTGGGCTCGGTTCACACCACTGTGTTTCGGTGGTGTGCACTTAAAAAAGTACAGCATGCAGTACTTTGTGTAGGCGCACTGTAGTGAGATACGGTGCAACCGCATCGCGGTGAGTGCATAGAACTGAATGAAATGTCACTTGCGGCTCAGTTGAGTGCATCGGCACTGTCCCAGGGACAAGCAAATCAGTACCCACTGGGAGAGCAGGTGCTGATTTATGTCAGACATTTAGGACTTGTTCACACTATATCCAGACAGGTGCGTTTTTTATCTGCACCAAACATGCATACACAGTAATTCCAATGGTTTTAAATGGGACTAGTTGACACCATTGCCTTCGATTCCAGAGCTTTAAAAAAAAAAAGAAGTACAGCAGCGTGCTTTTTTTGCACCGGAACAAGCACAAATGCATGTAAATGCACCGGAATGGGCTTAGACCCAAACCAAACCAATTTAAGAACAAAAAGAAAAAAAATGCACCGAAACGCATTAAAAACAGTCTGCTTCACACTTGTAAACAGACCCCCAGCTGCAATGGTACATATGGCATACATCAGCAGCAGCGTAAAGGTGCCCATACACCTTACAATTATCTGCAGATTTTCTGTGGTCAGATGGAAAAAGTGCAACAGATTGGCCCAGATGGAGATTACTCCATCCACACAGTTAAGTGTAGATGGAGGAATCTGTTGCACCTTTTCCATCTGACCACAGAAAATCTGCAGATAATTGTAAGGTGTATGGCCAGCTTAAAGGTGTCCATACAGTGTGCGATTATCGCGGGAAATCCCGCGATCGTAGGATAATCGCAAAGTGTATGGAAGGCGTGCAACTGTTTTTACTGTACGGTCGCATGTCTTTTGTCTAAGGAGCATGTTGTGGCATGCTTGGGAGACAAATGCCGAACGGGCCGGTGTGCGCACGCTATTTTACCTGCTCTGGAACGCTCTGGTACGAATGCAAACGCATAAAAACGCATGCAAACACCCTGGAACGCACTAAAAGCCCATTCTAAACGAGAAAAAAGAATGTTTTTAACCAAAAACGGCCCGGAACGCAGCAAAAAACGCGTCACAACCCACTGCACTGCGTGTGCAATACTCATGCGGATCTGGTCTGCATTTGGTGTGAACAAGCCCTAACAGGCTCTATAATAATACATTCTGCAAGAGAGCTGTAAGTGTGATGGGATGCATAGAGGAGTGAGAAGACTGCTATATAGTTCTGCTATCTTTGCTCTCCATCGTTTGATAGCCTGTACCAGCCTTTCTCAACCAGGGTATCGTGGCACCCTGGGGTGCCCTCTGGCTTCCTCAGGGGTGCCTTGAAATTTTCACATAGCATCATGCCCATGATGTGAAAGAAGAGAACTCTGGTGTGAAGGGGGGCTTGCAATTTGAAGAGGGTCTCTTAGTGAGGGAGGGGAGCTTGTGATGTGAAAGGAAGGTGCTCCCAATGTAAAGGGGGACTCTTATGTGAAAAGTGGTATTCTGATTGTGATCTTGCATGGGGTCCCCCATTAAAATTCATACCAGACCCCTATCCGGGTTAAGGGTCTGGGATGGGTTTTGGAGGGACACCACATTATTTTTAAGGCCCCATTCACACCTAGGCGTATTGTAATATGCGCATCTGTCGCGCGACCGTCACGCGTTTTTTTACCGCGATTCGCGGTAAAAAAGTTGCGCGACCGTCGCGCGATTCCAAAGGCTACTTGGCTGTATCCCAATGGAAAACGCCCTACAAAACGGCCCAAAGTAGTCCCGGGACCTTTTCAGGCGTGGGCCGTTTTGTAGGGCGTTAGGGACGGGCGGAAATACGCCTAGGTGGGAACGAGGGCATTGACTACAATGCTATTTATTTTTTTGACCGTTTTGTAGCGCGTTCGTCGAGCGTAGGACGCGCTACAAAACGGTCAGGTGTGAACTCAGCCTTACAATGACAGTTTTTACATTTTAGACTGCGGCGCCTCAAGATTTTGGATGAAACAAGGTTGAGAAACGCTAGTTTGTACAGTGGAAAAGTAGTCCTGCATGTAAAGCAGAGGACAGTCTACCCCCAATACTGTATTATATACGAAAATAATCACATGACGGAAGGATCTTAACTTGTACAAAGAGCATCGTTATCCAGGCGAGCCTCAGGCAACATGGCGTCTAATACACAGCATCCTTTTGTTTCCGTATGAACCTAAAGCGGGCGGAACCTGACAATTATTTTGGGTGTCTTGTTTAAGAAATCAGCTCATTAACATTGTAGCAGCCCTTCCCAGCTTCAGGAAGTGAGACAAGCATGTTTATAAATGATATGAAGAGATGTAAAGCTGGCCATGTGAAGATGAATTTGTTCAGTTGGTGGCCCTATCAGCAGTCCTCCATCTGGCATCCTTCGATCAGAAAATTGAAAGAGCCAGTTGTAAACTTTTTGAGTGGACAGTGACACCAGCCAATCATCTACCTTCACGGTTCAGGTATTCTCACAGCAGCAACCCACTGCTGTCAGAAAACAATAGCCAAGCGGGAGATTTGTCTATCCATGATATTTTGCATGGATGGCGGAATCTGTTATTTATTTATTTAATTCAGCCCACAGGTTGAAATAGAAAACAATTGTGCCCTGTTCACACTTGTTTTGGTGACACGACGTTCCAATAAACAAACTCTTGGGACTGCAATATTGGTGGTGTGCTGGTGACATTTATTCATCTTTATACTGTTCACACTAAAACGCAGGCGTGAGCTGCGAATAAATGCAGACGTGCGGAATTTTGTTTACAGCGCACTGGAGTGTATTGCAGATCACTGCGCTGCTGTGTAGACACCTAAATAGAGGGAACAGTTTGTACACTCCAAAAAAAAAGTCAACGCTGCCTTGCACTGTAACAACACAAGGCACTCTGCGCTCACCGCTGCCTTTTACCAGACACTATCCGCACAGTACAACGCAGCATTTTACCACGCAGCTCGTGTGAACCAGCCCTCAGTCCTTGTCTCCATGTTTGCATGCAGATCAAATGTCCAGCACAAGTGACACATACAAAAAACTGCCTATAAAGTCCATGTAAAACTCCCTGTTCCTATAAGTTGACCCTGTCATCACGTTTCATCTAGCAGTCTGTCCAGAAGGAGGGACCCCCATCATCTAGCAGTCTGTCCAGAAGGAGGGACCCCCATCATCTAGCAGTCTGTCCAGAAGGAGGGACCCCCATCATCTAGCAGTCTGTCGAGAAGGAGGGAACCCCATCTAGTATTCTGTCCAGAAGAAGGGCCCCCCATCATCTATCAGTTTGTCCAGAAGGGAACTCCATCTAGTATTCTGTCCAAAAGAAGGCCCCCCCACCATTTATCAGTCTGTCCAGAAGGAGGGACCCCCATCATCTAGCAGTCTGTCCAGAAGGAGGGACCCCCATCATCTAGCAGTCTGTCCAGAAGGAGGTAACCCCATCTAGTATTCTGTCCAGAAGGAGGGACCCCCATCATCTAGCAGTCTGTCCAGAAGGAGGTAACCCCATCTAGTATTCTGTCCAGAAGGAGGGACCCCCATCATCTAGCAGTCTGTCCAGAAGGAGGTAACCCCATCTAGTATTCTGTCCAGAAGGAGGGACCCCCATCATCTAGCAGTCTGTCCAGAAGGATGGAACCCATCTAGTATTCTGTCCAGAAGGAGGGACCCCTATCATCTAGCAGTCTGTCCAGAAGGAGGGACCCTCTTTGAGTATTCTATCTAGAAGGGCCTCCCATCATCTAGCAGCCTGTGGAAGGAGGGACCCCCATCTAGCATTCTGTCCAGAAGAAGGGCCCCCATCATCCAGCAGTCTGTGCAGAAGGAGGGACCCCCATCTTTCCTTCTGTCCAGAAGAAGGGCCCCCCATCATCCAGCCGTCTGTCCAGAAGAAGGGCCCCCCATCATCCAGCAGTGTGTGCAGAAGGAGGGACCCCACTAGCATTCTGTCCAGAAGAAGGGCACCCCATCACCCAGCCGTCTGTCCAGAAGGAATGACCCCAAACTAGCATTATGCCCAGAAAGAGGGACCCCCATGTAGCATTATGCCCAGAAGAAGGGCACCCCATCACCCAGCCGTCTGTCCAGAAGGAATGACCCCAAACTAGCATTATGCCCAGAAAGAGGGACCCCCATCTAGCATTATGCCCAGAAGGAGGGGCCCCATCTAGCATAATGCCCAGAAGGAGGGGGTCCTCATCCAGCTGTCTGTCCAGAAGGAGAGGGCCCCATCCAGCTGTCTGTCCAGAAGGAGGGGGCCCCATCTAGAATAATGCCCAGAAGGAAGGGGTTCCATCTAGTATTCTATCCACAAGGAGGGGGTCCTAATCCAGCTCTTTCCAGAAGGAGAGGGCCCCATCCAGCTGTCTGTCCAGAAGGAGGGGGTCCCATCTAGAATAATGCCCAGAAGGAGGGGGTCCCATCTAGTATTCTATCCACAAGGAGGGGGGTCCTAATCCAGCTGTCTGTCCAGAAAGAGAGGGCCCCCATCCAGCTGTCTGTCCAGAAGGAGGGGCCCCATGCAGCAGGAGTCAGCCCCCTGCCTCATGCTGTTTACTTTGCACAGTCCTGGCACTGAGCACATGCTGCTTCCCAACAATAGCGGGCGGCTGTGATTGGGCAGCTCCGCACAACGCTCCAAGCTGTAACCCGATCCGCCTCCTGCTGGCCCTTCACATGTAAACTGTGCCCGAGACTCTGCGGACTCCCTATACACCCTCCGTACAGTGTCCGTACACCCTCCGCACACTCCGAACATGGGATCCGTGCTAAGCAGCGAAGGAAGCAGAGATCACAAAGCCCTGGCTATAGAAGACCCCAGCTACGATTGTGCCGTGTGTCTGGAGGTCCTGAACCGGCCGATGAGGACAAGATGTGGCCATGTGTAAGTTCCCATCTGCTGATAGTGACATGTCTCATATTGGTGATCAGCCCCGGGGACTTATCTCCGCACTCATCTACTTCTTGTCTTGTGTTATAAAGTAACGCGAACAACTTTTCTCCTGTCTTCTCACACTTCCCAAATCCTACACCCCCCTTCTCTTTCTATTCCCCCTGTTCCACTTGCCGGGCAGGCTTGGACTGATCACCCCCCCTCTCCTCCTTTCTTCTCTCCCTGTTCTACTTGTCGGACAGGACTGCTGACCACATTGGCATTCCTGTTTCTGGTCACTTTGCACTCCCAGCTTCCCATGTAGCAGGGTGCACAGCTCAGCTCTTTGTTCTGGCTTGTGTGTATTACAGGGGATGCCGGGCCACAATCCACTGACCTACATTCCCTGCAAATCATTCTGATTGTTCTTTGTTCTGACATCCTCTCAACTTTTCCTACAACCCAACTGGCACTGTGCTCAGTCCAAGACCATGGACATAAACCTGAGCAGAGAATATGACATAGGGGATGTGTAGGTGACATATGGGGGCTCATGTACATGAGCATGATAAAATCATATCATCAAAGGATCTGGCTGGCAGAAAGTTCCTGCACAAAAGAACACATGTAGTGCTTCATAAAGTGCGTCAATTTAGACGCAGAAACGTCTGTAAAATTCTTCTATTCCTAGTTTCCAGTCTCGTTATGTGTTCTTGAAGATGTGTAAATGACAGAAAAAAATGACACAGATTTTACACTGCGCAAGATTACTGCGTGCATGGGCCTGTAATATACAATCCCGCTACCTTCAGACCTGTAAAAAAACTTTGCGCTGTGCAGATCTGAACTAAGGCTGCAACAACTAATCGACATAATCGATTATAATCGATTATTGAAAAAGTTGTCAACTTTTTCAATAATCGATTAATCGGCTTCCGATCAGTTGGCCCTGTTCACGGCTCCACACGCGCTGCGCCGCACCTCCTCCCCACCTCATGCTCGCCGCTGCCAGACCCGCCCGCCCGCATCCACGATCTTCACGCCGCACCTCCTCCGCGTCTCACTCTCACCGCCTGCCCACATCCACGATCGGCACAGGGACGCGGGGAGATGTAGTAAGGAGGAGCAGGTGTGGGGGGATGACAGCCGCCGACAGACAGGTCCGATCTCAGAAGCAAGTTGCTGGAAGACTGCTCAGGTAAGCCTGCACTTTCCCACACATGGTGCTGTATAATATATTGCTGGGATAGTGGGATTTGTAGTCCTCTATAGCTGATGGTACATTGTGCTGTATATTATACATAGGAATACAAATCCCAGCAATACATTATACACTGTATGTATAATGTATTGCTGGGATTTGTTGTACTCCTCTATAGCTGGTGATATTCTGCATTGCGCTGTATAGAGGACTACAAGTCCCAGCAATAATACATTATACAGCGCAATGCGGAATACCACCAGCTATAGAGGACTACAACAAATCCCAGCAATAGTACATTATAGCTGGCGGTATTCTGCATTGCGCTGTATAATGTACTATTGCTGGGTTTTGTAGTCCTCTATAGCTGGTGGTATTTAGCATTGCACCACTTTATAATGTACTATTGCTGGGATTTGTTGTAGTCCTCTATAGCTGGTGGTATTCTGCATTGCGCTGTATAATGTACTATTGCTGGGATTTGTAGTCCTCTATAGCCGGTGCCATTCTGCATTCATTGCTGTATAATTTTACACTTTCCATTTCACTATATTGCACACCACACTATTTTTTTTTTTTTTTTTACTTCCACCGCTCCAAGCTTGCTCCTGTGATGGACTGCAATCTCAATACAAACTAGTAATCCATCACTGGAGCCACTTAAAAAAATGTATTTTATTGTTTATCCGATTAACCGATTAATCGAACTTAATAATCGGCTAACTAATCGATTTTGAAAATAATCGTTAGCTGCAGCTCTAATCTGAACGCAGCATTTTGTTGTGGGATCCTCTTATTAAGTATTATTTATAGCCCTGGAACCTCTGTCATCTGTCACTTGTCTGGTGTCAGTTGTGATAAGCATCTGCAGCACTTGTCCTGTTACTGGGTGAATGTGTGGTGTGTAGCTACCAATGATCAGGGACATTTTCAGAGTTAGGTTTAGTCTCATCCATGTGCGTCTGCTATTTCATGCGTTTGTTTTAGCATGGTTTGTTATTATTATATAATACAGGATTTATATAGCGCCAGCAGTTTGCATGTTACACGCGCTTTTTATGTGCTCACATTGAATTCTATGGGGCTAAAACTACACCGTGTAGAAGCAATAGAAGCACCAGCACCTTAAAAAAAGAACTCCGGGCACAATGTTTATTAACTCTTGCAGTGGGGCTATCCCCGCACCGCAAGGGTTAACTGCTCATCTGTCTCTAGGTGCAGAAAAACCCCAACACAGTTATACTCATCCAATCCTCGGAGACGGCATGCTCTTAGATCGGTCCTTCCAGTGTCTCTCCCCCTCCTCTGCAGCAGTCTAAGGATCCTCGAGTCATCATGTTCTATGCAGGATGCCAAGGGACATACCTTCACTGCAGCTGAGGAGGAGACAGGCTGGGGGGAGAGCTGTGATTGCCACCCGGATCCGAGGTTAGGGTGAGTAGAACTTTTTTTCTTTTAGCACCTACACAAAAATGGGCAGTTAACCTATGCAGTGCGGGGGTAGCCCCACTGCAAGGGTTAATAAAAGTTTTACCCAGAGTTCTTGAAGTTGCATTGCAGCACAAGACAAAGGTGTGAACGGGCCCTATAGAGAAAAATGGGATTTCTTTTGTTGTGCATATGCGTATGATGGCTGAGGTGCTTCAAATCGCACACGTGTGAATGGGGACTTAGGCCTGGTGAACACTAGTGTGATTTGTCGCGAGTATGCTGTTGTGCTACAATACACGACAAAGGAAATCACCTCATTCTCTATGGTGCCTGTTCACACACAGGCAGCACAATGCAGTGCAATGTTTGCATGCAATGGTGCAGATGCTTTCTTTTTGGTGCTATGCAGTGAGGGGAATTTATCAAAACTGGAGCAGACAAAATCTGGAGTAGCTGTGCATAGCATCCAATCAGCTTCTCTCTTCAGCTTGTTCAGTTAGGCTTTGGAAATAAAAATTAGAAGCCATGGAATTGCTCCAGATTCTGTTTGCTCCACTTTTCTTAAAATACGTTCAGTGGGGGGAATTTATTAACGCAATTGCGAGTGTTTGAACTTGCATATGGTCGCATGGGATATGTTTGACGCGCTTTGAGCCAGATTTATGTTGCTAGTGTGATCTGGTTCATAAATTAGATTGAATAGACTCCAGGAAAGAAGAATCACAACTCCAGACAAGAAGCGTATCTGTCGCTTCTTGAAGACGTGGTCATGGAGACTTCTTAAGTTGCCATTTTATTGTTAGGTGATGCATCGGATTCAGACAGCCGCAGGACAAGTGCAGATGTAATCAGTTGCGAACTGTCGCAGACATTCGCAATCAGGAAAATAGGGCGCACTCAAGGCAAAACAGGCGAACATCTTAACAGGCGCTGCAAAACATATTTGTGCTTAAAAAAAAAAGTGATCAAAGAGGATAAAACAGTCATAATTGCGTTAATAAATTCCCCCAGTGTGTTTTTGGCCCTGTAGACTTCAATTGGAGAACAATGAAAAATGCATATAACATGCATCTTCATCCGTTTTAGTGCATAACAACCAGCCCCCACCCCCTAGCAACCTATACTAAATGCATATAACATGCATCTTCATCCGTTTTAGTGCATAACAACCAGCCCCCACCCCCTAGCAACCTATACTAAATGCATATAACATGCATCTTCATCCGTTTTAGTGCATAACAACCAGCCCCCACCCCCTAGCAACCTATACTAAATGCATATAACATGCATCTTCATCCATTTTAGCGCATGACAACAAGCCCCCACCCCTTAGCAACCTATACTATATGTCATTTTTATTGGGCAAAACAAAAACGATGAAGCATAAAAACGCATCAGAAACATGGCATGGCAAAAATGCATGATTATGCAGCAGCTCTAGTGTAAACCTAGGCCAAATGCCATCCTTAAGTATGAACACATTTTTTAGACTAGTAATAACTTATCCAGTACATGCACCAGCAGTTTTGGGTAATATAATTAGTACACACGGACATTATAATTGATCCTTTATGTTGGTTCATATACGATTACCGGTACTCTGTGTTTTCAGTCAGAAGGGTGTTAAGGTGCCCATACACATGGCGATTATCGTACGATAATCGCGGGTGATCCCGTGATCGTACGATAATCAGCAGGTGTATGGGCAGCGTGCGTCCTCTTCTAGTGTAAGCTTGCGCACTCCGCGGCCTGTGCGGCATTCACCTCCCGATCTACTGAGCCGACCTGTGACAGTCTCATTGTCACAGGTCGGCTAGAACTATGAGGTGAGTGAAAAGCACTCACCTCATAGTTCTCCTTTAAGGCCCGACATTGCTTTCCCTTCTGGAAGTCTCCTGCCAGTATTTGCCTTCACTTCAGACAAATGAGGGTTTTGAAAAGTGAAGTAATCTCTGTGGTGGGACAGCTGCTGGCGTCCATCCTGTTGACATATTCCACAGGTATCACGTTGCATATGATTTGTGGGAATTTCCTTTCGCCTTGTTTTAAATAAGCCGGCTCTTAAAGCGAGGAAATGACATCACATGAACAAAAACATGGATGGTTTCCTGAAGCGAAACAATGAGAGTGAGAGAAGAGCGTGACTAAGGATGATGCCATAGAAATGAATATTGCTGGAAACACAAGGGTGCTGTGTGTTATGTGAGGACAAAGAAGCCAGCCACATGGTGCTTCATGTATACATAATAAGCTGGACACTTATGCTGCAGCCTTGCTGCTTGACCTGGGAGATGGGTGACACGATTGCTGACCAACATATCTACTGACTCTATGTAGGTGTCGAGGAGATTGGATCTAAAAGTCTCTGTAAATATTAGGC